TGTATGTCAGTGTCCTAAGTATGTGCAGTCCTGTGGAGGTTAGAAGAGGGTGTTAAATCTACTGGATTGGAGTTACAGATGGTTTTAAACTGCCATGTGAATCCTGGGAGTTGAATTCAGGTCCTCTGAAATACCCAGAAGTCTTCTTTGGATATGTTAAAAAAACAGACAAAAACAAAAATCCATCTTGTTTGCGGGACAGCCTGTGCCTCCTATAGTTGGTATGTTCTAAGGAAAAGAGCAATTACTAGAGACTTAGGTAGGGGCATGCCTTGGGTATGTGAATTGAATTATCCAATCTCCAGCTTGAGTGTTTTTATCTGTCTCTATCCCTCGGAACAGTATTCTGTACCATGCTTTTAGAGACAAGCCGTCTACCCAAAGACCATTGGAACTGTGGATACATGTCAGTCCTAATCTGTTTATCTTGTCCTGCCTTTCCCCCAAAACTGTAATAATAAAGGCCTTTGCCTAAACTTTTTTTTACGTCCTTGTTTTCTGTCACCTAACACAAACAGGCTGCTTCTGCAGTCTTCTATGGCAGTAGCCTTTCTAATGCTGCAGTGTTTAGTACAGTTCCTCACGTTGTGGTGACCACCAACCATAAAATCATTTCTGTTGCTACTTCATGTTTGCAATTTTGCTACTGTTATGAATTGTAATGTAAATATCTGTTTGTTTTCTGATGGTCTTAGGTGACTGCAGTGAAAGGGTTGTCTGACTGTCCCCAAAGAGGTCGTGACCTACAGGTTGAGAACTACTGCCCCTGGCTTTCTGAGAGAAAGATAATTTATTTCCTGAGCTTCTCCTCTGTTTTCTTGTGGGTGTGTGTGATTGACATTACATTAAAAAAAAAAAAAACCCTTAGAAATGTTGCTTTATGATACTGTACCTTTTGGCATAATTAAGTTTCAATAACTCCTCTTAGTTTTGCTTTTCTCCTTTTATTCCCGTATTGCTCACAACTCCTTATTTTGATCTTTGGGCTTGGAAATTATTGTGCTGGAAGTTCCATAAGCCTTATATCTCCATTACGTAAAGATTTGGGTAATTTTATTATTTTTATGTTTATTGACTTCTGCAAAAACATTCTAAAACACTGGAAAATGTAAAAATAAAGACTAGACAGTGGGGCTGGCAGGATGGCTTCGTGTTGCACAAGGCACTTGTCACCAAGTCTGATGACCTAAGTGTAATCCTTGGTACCCACATGACAAGTGAGACTTACTTGCGAGTTGCCTCTGACTGATGTACATGTACTCCATGGCACATGCATGCTCCGCCCCTCTTGCCTGAATAAATAAGTGTAAAAATGAAAAAATTGACAATAATGCTATGACAACAAATTTCAAAGTCCCCAAATACAGTAATTTTAGTCCACTTACTTTGTTCTCTTTCATATAACACAGGCAGAGGGCGGACACTTGGGGTGTCTGTACCCTGTATGTCCAGTGTGTGTCTTTAGTGTTTGCCGGGCTGTCTTCTTAGCTGTTAACTCCTTTCCAGTCAGGAACACATTACAGTCCTGGAAATTGGAGATATCCTACTTTTTCTCCACCGGTATGAAGTTTTTCATTTGGCCACACGAAGCTGAAAAAGAGCCTGGAAAGTGTAGTTTGTAGCTGGAAAACCATTTTTAAACTTGGATATTCTTTGTTATTGGAAGTACAGTGTTAATGCTGATGGATAACTAGTGGTTCCTGCTATAGACAAATATATAACATCCAAAGGACATAGTTTTCTCTAATAACTCCAATTCCACAATATTGGTAAAGCTTCTTCGGGTTCAGTACAGCAGAAAACTATTGGAAATGTCACTTGACGTAAATTAAGCTATCAATGAGCTAGGCCCAGTCCAGTTGTAGCCTTAATAGGATTTTCTATATCCTTTCTATCTTACTCATACCACACAGACAGGCAAACACAGTTGGTGCACCATTTGCTTTTGTGTGGAACACATATTGATTAACATCTAACTGTAGGACTGTGGCTGTACAGTGACAAGACTGTATTGTTTAATCTTCATTCATATTTATGACTGTGATCACCACACTTCAGCCAGATCTCTAATATTAACAAGGATGATGCTCTTTTTAGGATTCAACTTCTCTTTCTTTCTTTCTTTCTTTCTTTCTCTTTTTGCTGTGACATATAAGATAAGACTATATGAAAGTCAACAAAAATGTTGGTATGTTTTGGTTCTGTGGGATCTATATTTAGCCTTTTGTCTTTTGGATTTTTCCTGCATATATTCAGAATAAAATTTATATAGTTATGAAGAAATGGTAATACTCTGAGGAAACATATTTTTCATCTTTGATTCAGTTGTAAATAGGATACCAGTCTAAAATCAGGTCACTAACAGTCTTCACTCAGGTTTCCCAGAGGGCACCTACATTTTCATACATAACGAGTTCCTAAAAATGTGCATGAAAACATTTCTAAATGTGAAACTAGTTGCTTAAAAAAATAAAATATCCTCTAAACTTTGAAAAATAGTTATGTAGGCTTGGTTTGTGCGTTTCAGAATAAACTTGGTTTGTGCCTCTTTTGGTATTTCTACTGGGTTAAATCTGTCAAATATGTTGAGGTTCTGAGATCTATGCTACTCAGCTTTAATGTGAGTGTTTCCCCCCCTAAGCTGTGAGGGCAATATTTAGGATATGTCTGTGAATACTCTCTGTAAAGACAGCGGTACATCTGGAGCTCTGAAAGGTCAGAGGGTCCTGTGCAAAAAATGCCGTGCATGAAGGTTGGTAAACTGCCTGTTTTGTTTTTAGTAGTCACTTTCTGGGTTTGAACACAAATAAATCATTCTGTTTTCATTATTATAATTATTCATGCCTAGAAATTAAGAAACAACTTGGCTCTTTTTTTTATTTCATTCTTTTTGATGTGCTTGCAAAGATACATGTTAATTGATATTTCATATTACCCTTCTAGCCTTATTAACTCTCAAATTCTCCAAAGTGTTCTTCTGGGGTTGTAGATTCTGACCATTGGAATTTTCTTAGCTTATGGCCAACACAAAGACAGTTGTAGTTTATAAAAATTGTTTGCATGTTAGTGATGTTAAGCCTGTGTTCCAATATTTACATACCTTTATATTTAACATAATTTTCAGTATTTAGAAGTTTAAAGTATTTCATGTAGCCAAATATGTCTAAGATCCTGTTCTTCATGTTTTCTTACCCGTAGAAAGGTCACCATATATATTGAGATGATAAATATTTTTTATTTCATTTCTTATATTTAACTATAAATAATTGGAATTAATTTGTTTGTAAGTTAAAACACTAATAATTTTTTTAAGATAGTTAATGAGTTTTTTGAGCCAATTATTGATTAGTTTTCCTTATTTAATTTTATTTTAAACATATTCCAGAGTTTTTATATATCTGATACATATGCTGGATTAAATATGTGGTCTGTTAGTACTATATTTCATAATGGTTTAAAAGAAAATGATGGATGGGTGAGGTTTTATATTTTATATTTTTCTTTTATATAAGTATTCTGCCTTAAAAATGTATTCAGTATTCACTTGAATATTGGTTATTTTCTAAGTTACATGCAATATTACAACAGTCAGAATATGTTCATTATTATAATGGATAATATATTTACAAGTACGGTTTCTACTTGGAATCTAAGTGAAATATTAAATACATTTGAGTTGCTAGTAAATTTAGCAATTTCTTTTTCTTTATAACTGGATGTAAAAACTTTTGCTATTTAAATGTCTCATATACTTTTTTTTAAAAAGAGTACAGGTCATAAAAGTTATGTAAGTTAAATTTAAAAGTATTAGCAGGATCTGACTTATTTCTTCCTTTTTCAAGGGAAAAATTTATACACAAATGAATATGTGGCGATTAAACTGGTAAGTTCATTATTATTTTTCTACAGTTATTTCCTTTGATTATCAGCTTATTAATTTTTTATCTTTACATTTACAATTTTGGTATTCATCCAAGAAGGAAAAATGTTTGCATGACTGACCTTTTGTTCATGTCTCTAATGATGTGTAAAGTGTCAGTGTTTTCTCTGCATGACAATTCTGTTTTTACTTTGGCAGCATTATGGAAGTGAAATTTGTAGTTTGGCAGTATTTCAGTGGTATTTTTAAGTGGATAAAAGCAAAATTTTTCTTTCTGATTCAAGCATTTAGACAAAAGTGCCTTTAGCATTTAGGTTTGTATTTGAACACACACTTCCAATTATCTTCTAAAGTGTTTCTACTGGTGTTTTGTAAATGTACTAAAGCTGGTTGTTGCTTGGCTTTCAAGGATTTAGAAAGCCATGAGTGGTGGTAGTAAGGAGGACCGTCATGTAAAATTCCATGTGCTCAGTGTCACAGGTACAAAGTAGTTCTCTGGAAGAATTTGCACGCAGGAATTATTTTATTCATTTATTATTTATTCACTCATTCATTTATTTATCTATCATTTATTTAGACAGAGTTTCTGTTTAGAACTGACTGTTCTAGAACTCACTATGTGTACCAGGCTGGCCTTGAGCTCCACCAGCTTCTGCTTCTCAAGTGCTGGGATTAAAGGTGTGTTCCTTTATGCGGCACTAGGAATGGTTTATAAGGCATATTTTCTCGTTGTCAGTCAGGTTTCCCTGAGGTTCGTGTTGGCTTAATGTTCACATTCTCCTTACTCTTGTCACCCTTGTCCTGAGAGTGTAACCTGTGTTGCTAGAGCAACTGTTAGAGGAAGAGGCCATGAGATGAAATGCGAGCTTTTGAACTGCCATGGAAAGTCTGTCTTGCTTGAAGTGTCTTTGAGCGTAGGCCTGTGTCCCTTCCTTTTACCAAAATGAGTATAAGTGTCGTGCTGTGATGCTGCCAGGACACAGGGGTCTGGCACTTGACTCACCCAGATGAGTTCTCCCTGACTTCAAGGTCAAGTCCTTGACTTTATAATACAAACTCTGGTTAGCTTCTGTCAGGGTAGTCACTGTTTTTTTTTTTTTAACTTTTTTTTTTTTATTGAGAAAAGGAGAAAAAAAACCCAAATTTCCTCCTCCTCCCAGCCTCCCATTTCCCTCCCCCTCCTCCCACCCTTCTTCCCCTTCTCCCACCCTTTTCCCCCTCACCCCACTCCTCTCCCCCTCCCTCTCCAGCCCAAAGAGCAGTCAGGGTTCCCTGCCCTGTGGTAAGGACCTAGGTCACTGTTGTTTTTAACTGGACTTGTGGTAATCAGCCATGAGATCAGTTACTATAATCAAGCTCTCAGAACTGTCCTAGTTGGGAACATAAATTTTTAATTTTTGATGAGAATTTTTTTTTTTTTACTCTTAAGATCTCAAGTGCCCAAATGAGTATAAATATTGTTTTATTTTAAAAATATTTAAAGTTTATTCTTTATCCATGTTATAAATGTAGACAGTGTATTTTGATCATATCCATTTTCTTCCCCTCTGCTCTCTTTGCTTTTTCCGGTATGCCCACTCCCACCTCTAGTCCCTGAAAAAAACAAAAAGCAAAGGTCACTGAGTCCAGTTAGTGCTGTCTACATTCTTGTGAGTGTTGGGCTGTGTACTGGGGCTTGGTCAACCTGTCATGTCCCTACCCACCCCACTCACTTTCCCTCCTCCAGCAGCCATCAACTGCCAATGGATCCTGCATTATGCATCCCTCTGCTTTGTCCATGCTGCAATGTTGATGGGCGTAGTCTTGTTCGTGAAGGCAGCCTTAGCTGTTCTGAGGTCATGAGTGCAGTGGCCATGTCATGTCAGTAGACAGCATTTTATAGCATTTCTTCCCCTCCGCTGATTTTTAAATTCTTTCTGTTCCTCTTTAGGAATGATGTATTCCTTCAGGTTTTCAGGAATAAGAAGGAAGTTTGAGGGGATCGATCTAGCTATTCCTTTTAGGGCTGAATAGTCAGTGGTCACTTACTCTCAGCACTTTGACCAGTTACTTATCGCTGCATTAAATAACTTTCAAGGGCTACATAGAAAGCCAATTTAAACAGACAAAGGAAGTTAGTATATAGGAACGACAGTAGAGAGAGTCAGCATTCAGGAAGTGTACAATATTTGAATGGGCATTCTGATTGTTGGAATTGTTCTTTTTTCTTCTTCACATTCTAGCTCTTTGTATGGCATTGGAGTTGGAGGTGGTATACCAGGAAAGAAATGTGTGGTATTCTGTACTAGTGATGAAGCAGCTGTACTTAACAGCTGTGTGCAGAGGGAACAGAAGCCACCGCCAGGCTGACTGCTCCCTGTCTGGTTAATTTATCAGGTGTAACCCTCAAGTCCTGTCATTTTCAAATTTGGAACTTGTTTGTCCTGTCCCTACCACTGGTGCCTTAGAAAATGCAAATCCGGTCATCTTCCAATCTCTATATATACATGAACATATAGCACTTTTTGTTCAGTGTATTTTGTGTATTTCTCTTTTTTATTTTTTTCCTTTGGTGAGGTGGAGTAGGAGACCTTTCTATTACTCTGACTGTTTTTTAGGCAGGTTTTTTTTCTAGCCCAGGCTGGTCTTGAGCTTGCTATACAGCTGAAAATGACTTTGAACTCAGGATCCACTTCTGCCACTGTTCAGGTGTGCACCACCATACCCAGCCTGTTTGTTTTTTTATTTTTAAGTGCAGTGATCAGCATTACATACAAAAATTATTACTAATACTCATAATTTACGGTAACTGGGAACATTTTTACTTTTGTATTGTGAGGTAAGTATGGCCTGTAGTCATATTCTCCCTAAATTTATTGAAAGTTAGAAAAATGCTTATATTTTGGTCTGTAGTTTACCAGTTTCCTTGTGTGTGGTTTGTTTTGTTGATTTTGTCGAGTGCAGTAGGTGAGGTGTAATTTTGTTTAGAACCAGCCATAAAGACAGTCAAGTGGAAATACTATGTTTATATACTTTTAGACACATCTCATTGCTGTATTTTGGAGAAATAAAGGCACTGTTGGATATTTTGAGAGCAGATCTTAGTGTCTGTAGTTCTGTAACAGCTTACAGGACGTTTACTTTTGTCTTTTTCCTACTTCAGATCGGTAGCTTGTCTAGGTGTTCCCACTCACATAGTAACCAGCTGTCCATGGCTACTGTAAAGGTCATCTGTTGGTAATGTGACTTGCACTACATGGTGGTTTCCTGACATTGTGTTGTTGCTATTGAAGTACAGGATCAAATTGAAATTACTAAACTAAGTTAGGGCTGGTTCCTGTTCTTTTTACCTGAAGCACATCAATCATTTAATTTCAGTTGTGATGGTATAAGTGAATATTATGTCGTATCTTACGGTTGTATATTTTTAGACAGTCAAAATTTATGGATAATGTGATATGTGAAAGGCACTGTTTTCACTGTTTTATATATTAAATTTTATATTGTGCACACACATATGCATGTATATATAGAGAGGAAAGGAGTGAGGGAGCCATAAAAAGTTTTAACTGCATTTTGCAGACGAGGAACTGCAGTATACAGCAAAGTTAACTAACTTTCCAAACCACACAGCTAGTGAAGTGGGAAGTCAAAGGTTTAAATCTAGTATAACTTGGTTTCAATCTCTGAGCATTTAACTACTACTATTATTGCTTCTCAGGATTTAAGCTTACCATTTTCTACAAATAATCCTTTTGATTCTAAGTTTCTAGTGTACTTCTGTCTCTCTCTCTCTCTCTCTCTCTCTCTCTCTCTCTCTCTCTCTCTCTCTCTCACACACACACACACACACACACACACACACATGCCTACTGTGCGTCTCATTCTTGAATCTGGTTTTTGCTTGTGATCGTCACTGCCCTCCACCCCATCACTGCTTATTAGACCTTCTCTCTGTATTGTTCAGATCTCTAATGATGTGAAGTTTTTACTTTCTCCCTCATAATGCACTTACATAGTTTTTCTTTTAACTTCTGTTTCCCTTAGTCTCTTTGTTCTTTTGTTGTGCTTACCTTTTATTGCAGAAAACTGTGATTTTAATTTAATTATTTTTTTTTAAATCCTGTTGGTTCCTCTGATAGCTGCTCAAATGCTTACTTTACATATGTTTACAGATGGTATCAATTTATTGAACTTTAAGTACAGTGTTGATTTTTATATAGATCTAGAGGAATAGAGATACCTAGTAGAATATTATAGTGTATATAAGTTGATGCTGAAGTTTAAAACATTTGGAATTAGACACTAGTGGTTTGTCTTAACTGAAATGTCTTTTGTTTATTCAATTGTTTGCCTAGGAGCCCATGAAATCCAGAGCACCACAGCTGCATTTGGAATACAGATTCTACAAGCAGTTAGGATCTGGAGGTAAGTTATATGAATTTTAAAATTTGGAGTAACACAGATTGTCATAACAATAATACTCTAGTTTTAAAAATAATATTTTAAATTTGGTTACAGAATCTTTTTTTTTTTTTTAAATTGGGGCTGAAGAAATGCTACAGTGGCTAAGTGTGCTTCCTGTTTTTAGCGGACCAGAGTTCCTAGCACATATGTCAGGGGGGCATCCCCTGCAGTTCTTGTTTCGGAAGACGGTGTGCATTGTGTGTGCATGTGGAGGATAGGGGATGGCGTGTAGAAGGTGGTGCGCTCTTTACCTTGTGTGTCCTGGGAGCTAAACCTAGGTTGTTAGGTGTCACCAACCCCCTTTTTGGCGTGACTTCTGCTATGTTCCTAGCCATGGCAGGTTCGCAGTCTCAAACGTTCCAGGGTAGGGACATTGGGATTAGAAATGTTGGTAGGAGAAACACAGAAAAGAAAGAAACACAGAGACACAGGATAGTAATGGGAGGGCAACTCCACGAATACTGGATGCTGAGTTCTCTCTTCTGATTTCTGAGTTTGCCTGTGTTTATTTTTCATACACTTTTATGCCCCAATACAAAAGAGCTAGGGGAGAAGGCAACAGATTGCTTTAACAGGACACAAAGTACAAGCAGAACAGTTCTTGCTTTAATACTTGAGACATCAAGTCATTATTTTTTGAGTAAAGCATTTGATGTCTGGTGCAGGGTACACCCTAGACCAAGTATCCTGTAGGCATCCTCTCCCTACGTCAAACTTCCTATTTCAAAAGAAGGAGCAGAAGTATGTTTGAATTTTCTGACCTTTGGTCAGGGTGGAGCGGGTCTATGACTCTGGGCCATCTTAATGTCCAAAACACCAAGTAGCCACACCCTAGGTCAGGATATCTTGTTTTATAGCCACACCTGCTGTCAACAACTTTGAAAGAGCAAAAATAAGCTCAGACTCTCTGACCTTCAGCTATGGAGAAATAGGCTCACATTTCTGGAATCTTCTTAGTTAGGTTTGTTGGCAGATGCCTTTACTGCTGAGCATCCATACTGTTAGTCTTTTTTAAGCAATATTGCTGTTATTATAATAGGTGTAAAAATGACTCCATAAATATATCCACATAGTGAGCTCTGGAGCCCATAGTTAGCATATAGCAGACATGTGAGATTGCAGGGTTATCCTGGATGTTGTCTAGGTAAGCCCTCAGTGCAAGCCAAGTATCTTTACTAGACATAGACAGAAAAGGGGAAGACTGTATGCCCATGGGGGCATTGCTTGGAATGATGTGAATGAACTAAAGTATGCTTGCAGTCTGAGATTCTGAAGGAGGCCCTTCAGGTTCTCTCCTAGAGCCTGCAAAGGGAGCATGGCTCTGCCTTGATTCAGCCTTATGAAACTGATTTGAGACACTGGCCTCTAAGGTGTAATACAATTATTTTTTGTTATTTTAAGCCATCATATTTGTAATAATTTCTCGATAGTAGGTAATGCAAATATATTTATATATGAAGTTCTTAAATCTCAATGGGAATAGAGATTTTTTTCATCGACAAATATTTATGGTTAAAATTTCTACTATGTGTTGCTTGTTGCATTGTCTTCACATTGAAGCTCTCAGTGCTACTTTTATTTACTCCTATTCTAATTGAAATGATTATTCAACAAAAATAAATTTTTGTTTGTTTGTTTTTCAAGACAAGCTTTTTTTTTTTTCTTTTTCTTTTTTTTTTTTTTTTGGTAACAGCTCTACCTAGCTGTCCTGGAACTAGCTTGAACTCACAGAGCTCTTCTTACCTCTGCCTCTCTAGTGCTGGGATTAAAGGCCTGCACCACTACTGCCTGGCCTTGAAGTGTATTTTTATAAACATATTTATATTCTAGTTTGTAGAATGTCCATTTCTTCAAACGATACACAGTTTGCATTTTTCCCTCACTAAGAGCATATGCAAATGAGTAGTCCTTGCAGTGTTAGTAAACTTTGCATTAATGAATGTATTATAGATTTTTATGTAGTGTCCTTTCCTATTTCTTCTGCCTAGTTTTGGTTTGAAGTCTGTTTCGTCAGATATTAAGGTAACTACGTCTGCTTGTTTTTTAATCCGTTTGCCTGGATACCTTTTTCCTTCCTTTTACCCCGAGGCAGTGTCTATCCTTGATTTAAGGTGTGTTTCTTGGAGGCAACAGAAAAATGGATCTGGCTTTCAAATTCAATCTGCTAGTCTGTGTCTTATCCCTGAAGAATTGCTAGTTAGTTACTAATGAGTAGTAATTATTAATTCCTGTTATTTTGTTATGGTAGTGTATTTTTCCTTTTTTTCAATTTTATTTTTTTAAAAAAGAAAGCAATTTTTTTAAAATTTTATATACCAATCCCAGTTCCCACTCCCTCCCTTCTTCCTATCCCCCCCATCCACTCCTCAGAGTGGGTAAGGCACATTGATTTGAGGAAGGTCCAAGGCCCTCCCTACCATATTTAGGCTGAGCAAGGTATCCATTCAATGAGAATGGGTTCCAAAAAGTTATTACAAGCAGTAGAGATAAATCCTGATGCCACTGCCAGTGGCTCTTCAGTCTGCCCCATACAACTGTCACCCACATTCAGAGGGTTTTGTTTGGTCTTATGCTGGTTCCATCCCTGTCTGCAGGAGTTGGTGAGCTCCTATTAGCTCAGGTAAACTGTTTCAGTGGGTGTCCCCATCATGGTCTTGACTTCTTTGCTCATATTATCATACCTTTCACTCTTCAACTGGATTTTGGGAGCTCAGCCCAGTGCTCTGATGCAGGTCTCTGCCTCTGTCTCCATCAGTTGCTGGATGAAGGTTCTATTGTGACACTTACATATAGTTATCAATCTGACTGCAGGGCAGGTCCAGTTTGGATACCTTCTCCACTATTGCTTAGGGTCTTAGCTGGGGTCATCCTTGTGGATTCCTGGGAATTTCTCTAGTGCCAGATTTCTTGCTAGCCCCGTAATGGCTCTCTCAATCAAAATATCTCTTTCCTGGCTTTCCATCTCTATCCTTCCTCCATCTTGACTATCCTGCTTTCTCAAGTTCTCCTGCTTCTTCTCCTCTTCTTCTTCTTCTTCTTCTTCTTCTTCTTCTTCTTCTTCTTCTTCTTCTTCTTCTTCTTCTTCTTCTTCTTCTTCTCCCCTTCTGCCCTTTCTTCTTTCCCCACCTCTATATTCCCAGTCTTGTCAGAAGATCTTTTCTATTTCCCCTTCCCGGTAGGATCTATATATTTCCACCCCTTTAGGGCCCACCTTGTGCTTAGCTGCTCTAGGGTTGTGGACTATAGGCTCGTTACCCTTTGCTTTACAGCTAGTATCCACTTATGAGTGAGTGCACACCACGTTTATCTTTTTGAGTCTGGGTTACCTCTCTAGTGTGTTTTTCTACCCCTCTTTTTCAGTTTTTTGAAACTTCTTTATTGAATCTTTGGGGGGTTTCTCATCATGCACCCCAATTCTGTTCATCTCCCAGTTCCTCATATCCCCTCAGCATCCCTGTTGCATCCCCTCCCCCACAGAAGAAAACAAAACAAAACAAGCAAACAAAAGCCAGAACAACAGCAACAACAAAACCCTAATAAACCAAAGCAGAATAAAAACCACATCAGAAACAGAAAAAACTCCACTTCTGACTCTCCGTCACCTCTTCATCCGTCCTGATGATCCTGGGGACTTTGGTGTGTCATATAGTATACTCCTTTGTCTCTACCCCTCTTTTGATTAACAGATCTGGGATTATTTGTTCTTGTGTTCTCCTGGATATAGTTCTTCTTCAGACTTCTTCAGACTGAAGTACCTTCTGGGGAACTGAATTACTGGGCAGAAATTGCTTAAATTTGTTTTTTATTGTGTAATGCTTCCTTATTCTGATGATTGTGATTGATAGTTTTTGCTGGGTACGGTAGTCTAGGCTGATATCTGTGGTCTTTTAGAGCTTGTAGATCATCTCTCAGTTTAGGCTCTTCTGGCTTTCAGAGTCTGCGTTGAAAAGTCAGGTGTTATTCTCATGGGCCTCCCTGTGTATGTAATTTCCTTTTTTCCCTTACAACTTTTACTATCCTTTCTTTGTTTTGTACATTTAGTGTTTTTATTATTCTGTGTTTTAGGGACTTTTATTTCTAGTCATGTCTATTTGGTGTTCTGTATATACTTTTTATACCTTTGGTAGGCATCCCTTTCTTCAGATTGCAGTAATTTTCTTCTATGATTTTGTTAAAAATATTTTTTGTGCATTTGACATAGGTTTCTTTTCTCCTTACTCTATACCTATTACTAGTAGGTTTGGTCTTTTCACAGTGTCCCAGATTTTCTGGATGTTTTGTGCCTGGTTTTTGTTGGTTTGTTTTAGATTTAACATTTTCTTTGTCTGCGATAGCTGGTCTTCAAGCTCTGAAATTCTCTCTTCCATGTCTCGTAATCTGTTGGTGAGGCTTACCTCTGAGGGTTTTGTTTGATTTCCTGAATTTCTCATTTCCAATTTTATTTCAATTTTGGTTTTCTTTAGTGATTCTATTTCTTTGTTGAATACTACTGTTATGTTTTGATTTGTTTTCATTGTTCCCTTCAATTCTTTGTGTTTTCATGGTCTTCATTAAGACATTAATTTATAGCCTCTTTAACATTCGTGAGCATATTCTTTCTCTTTCTATTGTCTACTTTCTAGTTATTTTAAACTTACTATTACTTGCATGAGGCTATTATCACATCTGTATTCATTGTGCACGTGGAATGCCCTCTTCCAGTGGGTGGCCTAGTGAAGCCCTAGCTGAATGCACCTGCTTTGCAACACATTCCCTGCTGCCACTTGACTCCTTTCTAGCAGGAGTGTTATCGTGTTATTAATAAAAACTTTGAATGTTTTCAGTATTCATATGGAAAATATTGTTTCTCAAGTGAGTGGCTTGACTTTTTGAGAGGTTCTTTCAACTATGTAGATCTACAAATTTGGTAATAGCAGTAGTGGCTGTTACTAAAATTATAACTTCACGGTATTGTCTTCTAACACGTTAGGGAACTCCCTTCCTTCTTCCTGGTGCCCACTTTGCCTTCTCAATCTGTACTTTGTGAAAAAAATCATGACTTCTGTGTTCTTTCCATGTTTCCATCTGGTTATTGACACTATCAACGTATACCATCTTTTTAAAACTCCTTGGTTATATCTGCTGTAAAATGAATGTAGAGAATTCTATAATATGTGGAATTTTAATTGTACTTTTTGCAAAGAATTTTGGTTATTGTGTAAGCCCTGTATACATCAGTGATGTCTAGAATTAATCTTTTTCACAGAGTTACTTGTTGGAGTAAGGCTGCTCGTTAGTTTCTGCTTGCTTAGCCCCGAAATAATCACACAGAAACTGTATTAATTAAAACACTGCTTGGCCCATTAGCTCTATCTTCTTATTGGCTAACTCTTACATATTAATTTAACCCATTTTCATTAATCTGTGTATCGCCACGTAGCTGTGGCTTTCAGGGTGAAGTTCCCAGTGTCTGTCTCCGGCAGGGGCTGCATGACTTCTTTCTGATTCCACCCTTCTTTCTCCCAGCATTCAGCCTAACTTTCCCTGCCTACCTAACTTCTGCCCTGCTGTAGGTCCAAAGCAGTTTCTTTATTCATTAATGGTAATCACAGCATACAGTTACCCGATCATGCTTTTCAGAATCATGTTTTAGCAAACTAAAGAAATTATCCAGGTATAATAACACATGCCTATGATCCCACCACTTAGAAGTATGAGGCAGGAGAGTCACAGGTTTGAACTCATCATGGACAACGTATGAGGCCTGATCACAAAACAACAGTAAGAGGAAATTTTAAGAAAATCTGCTTTCTCTGTCCTCTCTTTCACTAGTGCTGCAGTGATGAGAGAACTCATGGCACCAGGAAGTCTCTTAAGTGGCACATTCCAGTCACTGGGGCCTGAGGGTCCTTTGTACCTTTAAGGTTTTTGAGAATCTCAGAGACCTTTTGTTTGGATTGTGTTGACTAAAATTCTAGTAAATATTAAAAAGTTCCCAAATGGCCATTATGAACACAAAGCAAGAATTCTATCACTGAGCTATATGCTCAGCCCAAGTTTTCTTTTTTAAAATATTGCACCAGGACCAGGTATGGTGACTCACACTTTTAATCCTGACACTGAGGATGTAGAGGCAGGTGGATCTGAGTTAGAGGGCAGCATAATCTGAATAATGAGTTCCGGGCTAGGCAACACTAGATAATGAGACCCTGTCTTGACAAACAAATCAAAACTAACAAAAATTGCATCAGTGTATTTCTGTAAACAGCCCAGGTAAGACCCCAGCTTCTCAGCCTGCCAGAATTACAAATCTGTAACACTTATTTCCATACTGTGAAATTAAGTATCTTGTGAGCTGAGCAGAGGAGAGTGGTTTATACTCTGAAGGTAGTAAAGGGGAGGCAGAACAGTAGACAACACATGACTGATTAACATCTCAAGAACAATTGCAGTGGGTTTTTGATCCTACTGCACGTACTGGCTTTGTGGGAGCCTAGGCAGTTTGGATGCTCACCTTACGAGACCTGGATAGAGGTGGGCAGTCCTTGGGCTTCCCACAGGTCAGGGAACCCTGATTGCTCTTCGAGCAGATGAGGGAGGGGGACTTGATCGGGGGAGGTGGAGGGAAATGGGAAGCAGTTGCTGGGAGGAGGCAGAAATCCTTAATAAATAAATAAATTTTTTAAAAAAATCAGATAATGTCACGTCACTTTGTGTGAGGATTAGAGCAGAGGGAATTTAAGCACAGTGCTGAAACTAGCCCATGTAGAACATTTCTCCTGGTTTCTTGAAAGGTCAGTTAAACAAGTCTTATATTTGTTAACATGGAACTTTATCTTGGATGACTTCATTTTGATTGTTCTCTTAAAGCATGGTTGAATAGAAGAGTTCAAATTGTACGTTTTTGACTTGTTCCCAGCTGTTGGTGGAATAAATTCACTCTCCATTAAGTATGATGCTAGCTTGTAGTAGATCAAAGGTGTGCTTATTAGACTTTACCAGCTTATAATCCAAATTATGCTGAGAGTTGTGTTAAATCTTTCTTTTGTATTATAAAAAATGATTTTCCCCCATTCTATTGAATGTGAGTTATATTGGTGGATTTTAAAAATGTAACCCAATTTTGCATTTCTTAGCAGACTCTTTGTGGTATCTTACTTGGTTTTATATGTACAATATAGTCCTATAAGTCATTCCCATTAAGATGTCATCGTTGACTAAAGACAGTGTTGACCCTTAAGTATTTTTTTCATTTTGGGTAGCATTTGAAAAACACTGACCACAAAATACTAGCCATATAGTAACCCCGATTATTGAGACTTTATTCAGAGATTACTCTCTACAACTTTATTAGAAAGTGGGTGGTGAGTTAGAAAGAAGTAAGAAACTCTACATTCTGTCCATATTTATATCCTATATAGTTGACAGACTTTGATCTAATTTACTTACCTCTTACACTTCAGGAAGAACAAACTAAAGAGTGGAAATGCTTTACTATAGATTGTTAAATTGAGAACATAGAGATTAGTAATTTAGTGCTGCTGGGATCAGATAAGGTTAGACCCATCTAGACCTGCACTCTGCCTTTTGATTGACTTAAGATTTGCTGATAGGGACTGTACGTGTGTGTGTGTGTGTGTGTGTGTGTGTGTGTGTGTGTGTGTGTGTGCATGTGTGTGTGTATTATACTTCGCCACATACATATCCCTAACTATAAGGGTAAAAGGGTGAAGTCTTAGGTATTTCCCATACTTAAGGGAAGATATTTGGGTTGATCTTGGTGAGATACCAAGCATGGAGTTATTAAAGACAGCAGTGACTACCTAGTTCAATAAAAGTAGTAGTATCTTTCCTACTGTTTAAGCCTCTCTTTATTTAGTCTCTAGAAATAGAAGGTTAATAAAGCTTAGCAGGTGAGAGTGTAGAGATATAATAAAGTACTTTTTGTATGGTTTCAGAGACACAGCTACTCTACAGGTGTACTGGGGTACCATGTGCACATCGAGGAGTGAGTTTAGAGAAGAAGGAGGTTTAATCAGAAAAGATGTTTTTTTTTTCCTCCTGGAAAAAAAATAAATTTACTGTTAAAGTGCTTAAAACTAGGAAAATTAAAATATTGTTTAGGTTTTCCAGGTAAAAGGCTTAGTATATAAGATGATGGAATTATTAAATAACTTTTTCTTTTTTCCTAGATGGTATACCTCAAGTTTACTATTTTGGCCCTTGTGGTAAATACAACGCTATGGTGCTGGAACTGCTGGGACCTAGTTTGGAAGATTTGTTTGACCTATGTGATAGAACGTTTTCTCTTAAAACGGTTCTTATGATAGCTATACAACTGGTAAGTAAAGCAGGGTGTTGGAAGTTGCTTGAGCAACTACATAGTTCTTTGATCACAAGTTTCCCCCATTCCTCTGTCTTTCCCTCCTTTTGTCCCTTCCTCGCTCTATTTCCCAGTCTCTCTATATATTTTGATTATTTTTTTAGTCTCAAACTTCTACATAGTGTATGTTGGTCTTGAACTACTGAATTCCTGCCTCTGCCTCCTGAGTGCTGGTTTTATAGGTGTACATCATCATGCCTGGTGTTTATAAATTTAAGTAAAAAGTTTTACTTAAGCTTTTTGACCTTTTCATATGGAACATTCGACTCATATAATAGAAATGGTTTTTGCTTTTTATTTTGTCTTTCTAGGATGCATAGAATGTAAAATTACTGAGTCAAGTTCATTTTAGTTGTTTCTAAATTAATATTTTAATTGCTTTAAGGACAGGATGCATACTTCAAGGGTTGGTGTTTTTATAATACATGTAAGATGAAAACTTTGAACCTTCAGAAACAGAGATCTTAATCTTGGAAGTTGACTTTTATGACCCAATAAAAGAAGAAAAGAGTTAATGAGCAGTATACTTCAGTATTTAAATTTCTGGGAACCTATGAGGAAACATTGGAGATGAGCTTTAGACAGTTTTGACATAAATGCAATATAAGGATGCTACAAAAGTCTTGAAATTGTTTTACTCACATAGTTATTAATTCTACTCCTAGAGATTTATGTTGGAAATATTTAGGTCCCTTATTGTTTTATGTACAGGTGTAGATAGAATTGTAAAATAATGACTAACACCTTATGGTGTGAGCTAACAGGGTGAATTAGGTAACAGTCATAAAGTCATATATAGCTGTTAAAAACTGCATTAAAAGAATTTTTGTGACCTAGAAAGTGCTCATAAGATATTGTTAATCAAGGCATGGTCACAGGAGTGTGAGCCACAGTTTGTTAATAAACAGATTGGAATGGTCCGTAGACTCTATGTTGACATGGCACTAGTAACCAGGTTTGCCACAAATGGAACATTTGCCTTGTATCTAAAGTTCTGTTCTTTTGTATGGTAAACATTGTTTGAGAATCTGAAAAATGGTTAATATAAATATGATGGGGGCGAGTCTTCTGTTTTGTGTTAATTTCATTGGTTAAATAAAGAGACTGCCTTGGCCCTTTAATAGGACAGAAAATTAGGTAGGCGGAGTAGACTGAACAGAATTCTGGGAGAAAGAAGCTGAGTCAGGCAGTCGCCATGATTCTCCTCTCCGAGGCAGACACAGGTTAGGATCTTACCGGTAAGCTACCACCTTGTGGTGGTACACAGATTATTAGAAATGGGTTAATCTAGATGTGAGAGCTAGCCAGTTAGAGGCTAGAGCTAATGGGCCAAGCAGTGTGTAAAAGAATACAGTTTCCGTGTAATTATTTCGGGTAAAGCTAGCTGTGTGGAGCTGGGCGGGAACGCAGCCCACCGCAGCTCCTCACTACATAAATATGCTATATTTATTGTTTATTTATTTATATATAAATATAGTATGTGTATATATGGTTGATACAAATATTTGTGTTTATATTAATAAAATTAATATATGCTTTATTATTATAGTTGAATTCAGCATTTTCCAGTTTTAAGATTTTAAAGTGTTTAATGCTAGGAAAAATGAAATCTTTTACGAAAAAATACTGAATAATGTTAATTTTTAATGCTAATTTTTTAACAGGTAAAAAAATCACATTTTTAAGTTTTATTTGATTATAAGAATTGCCTGAATGTTGAATTGAGGAAGAATAATGTTAACTTTAAGAATGTGTCTTTAGTTTTGAATTTAAGGTTTTTATTTTTAATCCATAAAGATTTTTTTTAAACTTTATAACCTAGCATGAAAATAGTGATTGAGTTTGACTTGCTGCTAGGAAATGCATTCCTAAAATCCAGACACTTTCATTTATCTGTGACCATAGCAGCAAAGACAAACATTTTAAGTCATAAATGGATATATGCTCTTTGAGGAACTGAAGATTGACATCTTTTTGACTTTAAAGGGTTGAAACAATTTCTAATTGTCTTTTTATAATGTTACTTTTATTATAAAAGTTGTCATGTTTTTGTCATGATTTTGTTTGCTAGTGAAAATCTAAAATAAAAATCCTTTTCTCTTTTTCCACTAAGATTTCTCGCATGGAGTATGTCCACTCAAAGAACTTGATATACAGAGATGTGAAACCCGAGAACTTTCTAATAGGACGACCAGGAAACAAAACCCAACAAGTCATTCATATTATAGATTTTGGGTTGGCAAAGGAATATATTGATCCAGAGACAAAGAAGCATATACCATACAGAGAACACAAAAGCCTTACTGGAACAGCTAGATACATGAGCATAAACACACATCTAGGCAAAGGTATGTGGACATGGTGCAAGTATGGAAGCTAGAGTTCTGCTGTGTCAGCAGTGTAGACTGCGTTTCAGGGTTTGCAGATTAAAACAGCTCATACTGTAGTTCTTGTTCACCACATGCCCATAGTTTTCTTTCATTTATATTTTGATAATACTTTAAAAATAAGGTCGTGTATATGGTAAATGTTTTCTATGATAGCTTGAAATGCCCAACCTTGATACAGTTAGGGAACCCATTTGAATATTTCTTAATGATATGAAGTAATGCCCAATTTTAACTGAATTCAGATTATAGCTTCTATACAGCTTGCCAGGTTAGTAACAACCTTACTAATTGGGTATAATGCTAATAACATTAGAGCTGGTACTAATGCTGGCTAGAATATTTTTCTTAGCTGTATGGCTTTGGACAAATTATTAATTTTAAAAATACACTTCATATGTGTATAAAGAGTAAAATATCAACCATATAGTGTTTTTATGTTTTTGTTTGTTTGTTTTTTCAGTTCAGGATCATAATTGCTACAGTGTATTATTTGTTTTATAGCTTTAGTCATTTTTTAAAAAATCAAGTCTGTGTCCTGTCCTTTCTTCATCTTTCTTTATAGGTTTTAATCTTAATAATTTTTCGGAGCAAGGGCATTATTTTAGAATGTTCTTGGTTTGGGTCTCTTAATTTTTTTCTTGATTAGCTGTTGGCATGCATGTTTAATACTCATCTATGAGGAAGCATGGAAGTATGGGTTTTTTGTATTGTGTCAGGGTCATTTGGTGTGATATCCAGCTGGGTCTTTTCAGTTATTGAGGTGATATGTGCTTAGTTTCTCCAGGAAAGTATATTTTCCCTTGACAGCTAAAAATCATGTTGTATGTAGATCTTTGAAGTTACGTGAGTATGTGATTCTTTGAATTTTTTTGAGATACGGTCTAACTTTATAGCAGGAGTGTAAACTAACAGTAGCAAAATTGCACTTATGAAGTAGAAAATAATTTTATGGTTGGGGGTCACTACAACATGAAGAATTGTATTGAAGGGTCACTCCATTGGGAAAGTTAAGAACCAGTGACATACAGTATAAAATAAGATGTCAACTGGACCCTAGGAGCTGTCCAGTCAACATCCAACTTCCAGTCTTTGCTTCACCTCCACCAGCTTTTCTCAGCTTACCTGGTGCAGACTGCATGTCTTTGCTCTGCTGCTCAACTCTGAATTATAGCATTTGGCTTTGTTGCTGGCAGTCTGCCAGTTAACTAGCCTCATGGTACTTTCTCCCTTAAACATCTGTACTGTGAGAAATGGCAGTCTGCCTCTGCCTTGAAGCACAGCTTCAGACATAAAATGATAAAAGAGGCTTTATTGAGGTAATATTTTTGGTGAGTCCTTTCAATAGCAAACTCTCCTGACAGATTAAAAACACAATTTGGTGTTCTTCTAAAACCAGTCACACCCATTTTTGCATGTGCATTGTCTGAGAAATGCTCATTTCATGGGAACTGTTACAGACTATTTCAAAATAGCTAACAAAGTTTCACAACCATTTTATTGTAAAATATGACATCACTGCTTCCTTATGGGCTAATGTTTTTTTTTTCTGTAAACAATGGTACATGTAGCAGTTTTCTATTTGTAGAAAAGGCAAAGTAAGTTTTTGTCATTGTTAGGAAAGGCCTTCAGAGCTTGGGAGAAGTGGCTTTTAACTCTTGTAGGAATGTACAGACAGCAAATGCTGTAAGATTTACTTTTCAAGACCTACTTAGCAAGTCTAATATAGATGGGTAATGAGGAAGTGCTTGTTTGCCAGCACACATGAGTTCTAAAGTAGCATGTGTTTGGATGCACTCTGTACATTCTGTCATATTGTGATGCTGTGGACTTGTGTATTTCATGCTTCTTAAATTTAAAAGTACATGGCTTGGTGAAGAGTGAGAAACCAATAAAAAAGGAAGAGGACAGAGAGAACGTGACTCTTGAATGTGATTTTTACTCTATGTGTATCTGCTTGAAGCCTTCTCAACATTCCCCGGATCTTAACAACCCAGTTTTCTCCATATCCCTTCTCCTTTCCTTCTTTTCCATGCTGCTCTTTCCTTCCTTCCATTTTTTTTTTATTTCTTTTTCTTTTCTTTGCTCTTGCAGTGCTGAGAGTCAAACTCAGGCCCTTGCACCTGCTATGCAATTGCTGAATTGACGAACTGCCTCCCCAGCTTGTTAGTGATTACCTTTAAGGCATGAGTAATTGTTGAAGAGAGGCCACTTGTTCGTCCCAGCCACCCAGAACCGAAGTAATCACACAGAAACTGTATTAATTAAATCACTGCTTGGCCTATTAGCTCTAGCTTCTTAATGGTTAATTCTTATATCAATTTAGCCCATTTCTATTAATCTGTATATTACCATGTGGCAGTGGCTTACTGGCAAAGATTCAGCATGTCTGACTCCAGTGACTCCATGGCGTCTCTCTGACTCTACCTTCTTCTTCCCAGCATTCAGTCCAGTCCTCTCTACTTACCTAAGTTCTGTCCTGTCAACAGGCCAAGGCAGTTTCTTTTTTTTAAATTTTATTTATTTATTTTTATTATTTATTAAAGATTTCTGCCTCTTCCCCGCCACTGCCTCCCATTTCCCTCCCCCTCCCCCCGATCAAGTTCCCCTCCCTCATCAGCCTGAAGAGCAATCAGGGTTCCCTGCCCTGTGGGAAGTCCAAGGACCACCCACCTCCATCCAGGTCTAGTAAGTTGAGCATCGAAACTGCTTAGGCTCCCCCAAAGCCAGTACATGCAGTAGGATCAGAAACCCATTGCCATTGCTCTTGAGTTCTCAGCAGTCCTTGTCCGGTTTTATCCCATGCTTTTTCAGACCCAGGCCAGCTGGCCTTGGTGAGTTCCTGATAGAACATCCCCATTGTCTCAGTGTGTGGGTGCACCCCTTGCGGTCCTGAGTTCCTTGCTCGTGCTCTCTCTCCTTCTGCTCCTGATTTGGACCTTGAGATTTCAGTCTGGTGCTCCAATGTGGGTCTCTGTCTCTGTCTCTGTCTCCTTTTATTGCCTGATGAAGGTTAATATTCAGGAGGATGCCTATATGTTTTTCTTTGGGTTCACCTTCTTATTTAGCTTCTCTAGGATCACGAATTATAGGCTCAATGTCCTTTATTTATGGCTAGAAACCAAATATGAGTGAGTACATCCCATGTTCCTCTTTTTGGGTCTGGCTTACCTCACTCAGGTTAGTGTTTTCTATTTCCGTCCATTTGTATGCAAAATTCAAAAAGTCATTGGTTTTTTTTTTTTTTTTTTTTTTTTTTTGGTTTTTCGAGACGGGGTTTCTCTGTGGCTTTGGAGCCTGTCCTGGAACTAGCTCTGTAGACCAGGCTGGTCTCGAACTCACAGAGATCCGCCTGCCTCTGCCTCCCGAGTGCTGGGATTAAAGGCGTGCGCCACCATCGCCCGGCTAAGTCATTGTTCTTTACTGCTGAGTAGTACTCTAATATGTATATATTCCATACTTTCTTTATCCATTCTTCCATTGAAGGGCATCTAGGTTGTTTCCAGGTTCTGGCTATTACAAACAATGCTGCTATGAACATAGTTGAACATATACTTTTGTTGTATGATAGGGCATCTCTTGGGTATATTCCCAAGAGTGGTATTACTGGGTCCTGGGGTAGGTTGATCACAAATTTCCTGAGAAACCGCCACACTGCTTTCCAGAGTGGTTGCACAAGTTTGCATTCCCACCAGCAATGGGTGAGTGTACCCCTTTCTCCACAACCTCTCCAGCAAAGGCTATCATTGGTGTTTTTTATTTTAGCCATTCTGACAGGTGTAAGATGGTATCTTAAAGTTGTCTTGATTTGCATTTCCCTGATTGCTAAGGAAGTTGAGCATGATCTTAAGTGTCTTTTGGCCATTTGAACTTCTTCTGTTGAGAATTCTCTGTTCAGCTCAATGCCCCATTTTATAATTGGGTTGATTAACCTTTTACGGTCTAGTTTCTTGAGTTCTTTATATATTTTGGAGATCAGACCTTTGTCAGTTGGGGGTTGGTGAAGATCTTCTCCCAGTCAGTGGGTTGCCCAGGGCAGTTTCTTTATTCATTAATGGTAATCATAGTGTACAAAGGGGAATCCCACATCACCTCCCCTTTTCTGTTTAAATAAAAAGGAAGTTTTAACTTTAACATAGTAAAATTACATATAACAGGTATCAAGCAAGACTTACAATTACAATATTTATAGCTACTTTATCTTTTACTATAACTATAAATTCTTCAACTCCATCAAAGACTCCTGAAGGATATATTATTACCTAAGTAAACAGGAAGTACATTGTAAGCAGCTTCCAAACTCTAGAATTGACAGAGACATGCACTGCCTGGAGAGTCACCCAAAGTTCTTCTGTACTGTTGGGGCATCCATCTTCATCTGCAGGCCCAAAGTATCCAGCAGACTTTTCCTTGAAGCAGGAATTTTCAAAGATAGTTTAGTCACTTTCTTCTGTATCCTGCAGAATGTCTCGCAGACTCTTTTATGAAGCAGGGACCCCAAAGGAGGATCTCATCTTTAGGCAAGTTCAGCATTCATTTCTCTGCAGGTATTGCATGTCTAGCTAAGCAGTTGAGGCAAGAGCAGGTTTTTGCTCATATGACTAAACACTCCATAAGGATCTTCTTCGATGCTCGTCTTCCTCTTGAAGTAGCTTGGTGCTACCAGGAGCAGATGTGTCTCATTGTCATTAAAAATCTTAAGTTTTTAAACATTTTAAAATGCCATATTCCGTAGTGTTTTAAAGGTTTGAAGAATGCCTATCCATCTGAAATATATCTCTATACATCTAGAAAATCTAACTAACATGACTATAAGCTTGATTATTATAAACGATTATCTATTAACCTATATTTCTTAATTATACATTACATTTTTAAATGAGCTACACAATCAGAGTACCTTAATCAATAGCAGAAATATACATATAAGAAAATTGCCCTTAAATTTGTATCAATAAACT